GGAGGGTGGGTGGGCCCGGAGAGAGTGCTTCTCACCATTCACGCCAAAAAGGCAGAGTTGATATTTATGCTTATTGTACGTCCATCGGTCAATTTGGAATAACAGATAGGAAAGGACCATGGAGGTGAAACAGTGATAATTTACTTTAAAGTCCCAAAGGCCATCCAAAATCATCCAACATTTTGCGACATGCTGCTTCTGTATGACCAAACGCGCGCAATGCTTTGCGCGCAACGATTTTGCAAGATGTTGCGTTGAAATGTTGTATGCGTTTTGCTAAGCCTTTGGCATAACGAGCGCCAAGGAAGTTTATATTGTCTCCTGCATTAAGATGGATAACAGACCACGCACTGAAAAGGAATAGAAAATTAAAACACAAAAACACGAACAAAAAAATGTAGAAGAATAAGGAGAAAGTTAAGTACATTTATCAGCATTTCTGCCTTAAGGCATTTAGAATTCAGTCGAGGATAACGTCAATGGTTATCTCGGCTTTCTAAGACAAGTATGATCTGAATTATGATAAAAGCTGAGGAAAATGATAATTCATTTCAAAGATGATTGACATTTACTGCGTCAAGAGTCGATGCTGTCAGTCAATTATTAGTCAGGTGCATGCTGGGTCTCCTAAAATGGGTGAGTAGTTGTTTTGAAGCCTTCGACGAAAACGTGCTTGCTGTGTGAACGATGACCTTTACACTGAGCTGTAACCGTTAACTTCCGCGATAATGTGAGCCGTCATTTCTTAATTGTTTGCAATGTGTTAATGCTGAGTCTTAATTCAAATAATAGCTTGAACATTGTATCATTAAATGCAGGTGGTTTATTTCGTGCATTAATGAATAAATAATTGATACGAATTGTTAGAATTTTCATTCCAGTCAACTCATTTTCGGCCAACTCACGGTAGTTCGTTGATGAGCCACGTTCAAGCCGAGACTGAGTGGCTGTCAGACTCACTCCGAAATCCCTCAGTTGAGGAAAATGTCCAACAGTTTCATCCCTGTGGCATTTTTCATATTTCAAGTATCTTTTTCGTTTGTTGTGAGCCAAGAAGTCAAGGAAAACAGGTGAGATACTCTGAGAAATTTCCGACAATCGTGAGTGAGTCAAAGTTATTTTCTCGAATATACTTTTCAAGTAGATTCGAGAAAATAACTTTTAAAAATAAACTTTTTAGGGATTTAACTCGCAGTATTTGAGAAGGATTGATGCTGAAATATTCTACTCATCTGTAAACCAAAGTGTCTTTGAAACGGAATTGAAGATTTAACTCTTTGATTATTGGGAAATTTAGAAGATAATTTTAAAATTTTTTTCCATGCAAACACCGTAGAATAATCAGTTCTTATACCTCTGCTAAAGTTTCTCTAAAATGAACCGATGGAAATATGAGTTGGGTTGAAAAAATCATAATCATGGTCACAAATAATTCATTAAAAAAGTTATACGTCTGGAGAATGAAATGTAAGTTCATTTTCGAAGCCGATATCACTAATCAATTTTTCGTGCTGGCTCTGAATGTAAGTACTTCCTC